TGCACGTAATGGGCCCAGGTGCAGGGCGCCGTGACTGCTGCACGTAATGGGCCCAGGTGCACGGCGCCGTGTCTGCTGCACGTAATGGGCCCAGGTGCACGTAATGGGCCCAGGTGCAGGGCGCCGTGACTGCTGCACGTAATGGGCCCAGGTGCAGGGCGCCGTGACTGCTGCACGTAATGGGCCCAGGTGCACGTAATGGGCCCAGGTGCAGGGCGCCATGACTGCTGCACGTAATGGGCCCAGGTGCAGGGCGCCGTGACTGCTGCACGTAATGGGTCCAGGTGCACGTAATGGGCCCAGGTGCAGGGCGCCACGACTGCTGCACGTAATGGGTCCAGGTGCACGTAATGGGCCCAGGTGCAGGGCATATTCATGTTCATTCATGTTGCTATCACATTCATCCACATTATTCACCTTGCTTGCATTACAAATCACATTACATCACATTAAGAGTAGCCGTATTTCAATGCCTAATTAATGCTAAATAATGATTAATATTAAATTAATTTAATTGAGGTCACTCGTTATCTCCTTACCTCCTCAACGGCAAGCCATCCTCTTCCCATTAAAATATTATAAAATATTCAACGTTCATACAATATTTAGTGCTTTAATATTTATATAACTAATTAATATTCAAAGTTCGTATAATATTTAAAGGTATAATATATACCGTTCAATATTTATATAATTTAATTAATATTCAACGTCTATATAATAATTATAAACGTTTTTTCTATTATAATTTTCAATAAAGCTTTTATTTTCAAGTCACACTTCACTAGTTGACTAGGTTCACTAGCACTAGACTGGCCACTCTAGAGGACCATCTAGTTGCCATCTAGCAACACTAACACTAGCTGCACTAGACACAACACTAGTAGCGCTCATATATATAGTCGCTCTAGTAGAATATCTAGTTCCCACCTACACCAAGAAACATAATGCATCATATTGTCTAAATATTGACACACTTTCCTAGCCACAGCACGTAGCACTGATACGCACTTTTGCAGGGCCAAACTGAGTCAGAATATCTCACTTAACAGCAAATATTGCATCGTAATTAGGACAAAGTCCATCTTTTTCTTTGAGTGTAGACACGAAAGTAGCAACAGGTACCACACGGTACACGGGGACCACACGTCACACGGGGCCCACACGTCACACGAGGACCACACGTCACATGGGGACCACACGTCACACGAGGACCACACGCCACACGGGGACCACACGTCACACGAGGACCACACGCCACACGGGGACCACACGTCACACGAGGACCACACGTCACACGAGGACCTGGACCACACGTCACACGGGGACCACACGTCACACGAGGACCACACGTCACACGGGGACCACACGTCACACGGGGCCCACACGTCACACGAGAACCACACGCCACACGGGGACCACACGTCACACGGGACCACACGTCACATGGGGACCACACGTCACACGGGGACCACACGTCACACGGGGACCACACGTCACACGGGGACCACACGCCACACGGGGACCACACGTCACACGTTGACACGTCAAACGTGGACCACACGTCACACGTGGACCACACGTCACACGGGGACCACACGGTACACGGGGACCAGACGTCACACGAGGACAACACGGTACACGGGGACCACACGTCACACGGGGACCACACGTCACACGTGGACCACACGGCACACGGGGACCACACGTCACACGGGGACCACACGTCACACGTTGACACATCACACGTGGACCACACGTCAAACGGGGACCACACGTCACACGGGGACCATACGTCAAACGTGGACCACACGTCACACGTGGACCACAGGTCACACGAGGACCACACGTCACACGTTGACACATCACACGTGGACCACACGTCAAACGGGGACCACACGTCACACGGGGACCACACGTCAAACGTGGACCACACGTCACACGGGGACCACACGTCAAACGTGGACCACACGTCACACGTTGACACGCCACACGGGGACCACACGTCACACGGGGACCACACGGCACACGTGGACCACACGCCACACGTGGACCACACGTCACACGTGGACCACACGTCACACGGGGAGCACACGGCACACGGGGACCACACGTCATACGTAAACCACACGTCAAACGTGGACCACACTGCACACGTGGACCACACGCCACACGTGGACCACACGGCACACGGTGACCACACAGCACACGGGGACCACACGTCACACGTTGACACGTCACACGTGGACCACACGTCACACGGGGACCACACGGTACACGGGGACCACACGTCACACGTGGACCACACGTCACACGGGGACCATACGGTACACGGGGACCACACGTCACACGGGGACCACACGTCACACGGGGACCACACGTCACACGGGGACCACACGTCACACGGGGCCCACACGTCACACGGGGACCACACGTCACACGGGGACCACACGTCACACGGGGACCACACGCCACACGGGGACCACACGTCACACGGGGACCACACGGTACACGGGGACCACACAGTTTATAATGTCATAATAATAACCAATGTTACAATGATCATCATCGTTATTCTCAATAAAGATGATATTGAAAATATTGATCATTAATATACCAGTGATTATAGTAACATTGATCATATATAATATAATAATCATCAGTAACTTCAGAAAAAGGTTTCAATAACAAATGAAATTGTAAGCAGCGTTATAATAATGATCAATTCCACTATAGCCAACGTTGTAATCATCACTAATGTTATAATAATCAATGCTATAGTAATGCTCAATATAATTAAGATGACCGTTCTTATGATCAATATTATTGTGACCGTCATGATACGTAATCAAAGAACTAATAGCCATTTATCAGCGTTCATATAATCAATGATAATCCTGAATGTTGTACTAATTTCAACACGTGCATATAATCAATGTTATTGTGACCAGCGTCATGATAATCAATGAACTAATAAACATTAATATTATCAAGATCACGGTTATCATAATCAATGTCATGATTATTGTACTAATTTCAGCACGTGCATATAATCGATGCGCGCAGTAAAGGGGCAAGACTTGGCGGCGGGGTTGCCAGGTCTGGAAACCAGGGCGCAAAATAACGCGACGAGCGCGCGACTACACAACCTCACCCCACGGCCGCCACGGCCACACTGAGCCGCCAGCCGCAGCTGCCAGATGGCGGCACGAACAAACGGCCATATCATCGCCCCGTATAAGGCCAAAATACAGCACAAAGATTTAATATTTAGTAGCGTATGTGTAATTTACGGTGTAATAATTTCATTCATATAATTTTTAAGAGCTTTAGAAAGCAATGGTATTCAATTGTAATATATTTAATTGAAACATATATGATATATCGTTGACGATCATACTATTAAAAAAAGGCCAAATCGGCAAATTTGGCCGGAAAAAGGCCAATCAAGCAACCCCTGCATGGCCGGTGGCACTCCTGTCGGTGTTGTTGCTGTTATGTCAGTTTCTTATAGGCAGATCGTTCCATGTAATTTCTTTCATCGATTGCTTTTATTTTGAATTTACTTCCTCTATTGCTTTTATTTTTAAATTTTATTGTTGATTGTGTTGAACTTATACTTGTGGGTGAGGCGCAGCAGGCAGTTTTTGTCGCCCTTGCGATGTATAATTCCCGGCGATGTTATCGCTGCAGTTACATTATATCTTTGATCTACTCGTAAGTTTAAATTATATTATATATTATTGCGCTTAATACATTAATAATGGAAATTAATAAGCACATCAACGTCTGTTTCTAATAGAGTTGTGATTTTAATTTCATTTCCCACCTGGTTTCGTAGAAAATGGGAAAGAGAGAACGTAAAGAAAGAAAACGAGATTTTGAGGGAATACTGAAACATAGTAATTGCCCCCACTCACCGGTGGGCGATGCCCCCGCTCTGCACACTCTGCACGTAGATGCCCCACTCACCGGTGGGCGATGCCCCCGCTCTGCACACTCTGCACGTAGATGCCCCACTCACCGGTGGGCGATGCCCCCGCTCTGCACACTCTGCACGTAGATGCCCCACTCACCGGTGGGCGATGCCCCCGCTCTGCACACTCTGCACGTAGATGCCCCACTCACCGGTGGGCGATGCCCCCGCTCTGCACACTCTGCACGTAGATGCCCAGCTCTCCCCGCACTTCTGAGCGCAGACCCACGACGCTCACCCCCAGGCTGCTCCCCGGGGGCTTTTGCAGCTGCAGGGGGAGGAGGGGGAGGGTGAGTGCCTTGAAGGGGGAGTGAGTGGCCTAGAGAGGTACTGGCCGCCACTACTGGTTCAATACTCTAATAATACTGGTTGCCACTACTCCAATAGATTGAGACAATACTCTTAATCTATTGGAGATTAGAATTTTAAGCATTTATGATTCCTAGTCAGTCTAGAAGATATGTTGACTGACTGGAGATATTACTATTAACGTTCACATGATATGTGACGCGCAATAACAATGCAGTGTTAAGGCCCGTTTACACTCGAGGCAACGACATGGGCGGTGAGGCGCTTGCTGCAGCGTCTCACCGCCACAACCGTCCACACTTATTTTTGTACACGCTGGCTCGAGACCGCGCGCTTTGAAGAATAGATGCCAGTTAATAAGACGTCAGTGGGTGATGGATATAACCGAATTTGAGCTCTGGGCCTTTGTTCTCGGGTGTGCTGCTGTTAAGATTTACACAAACACGATTTCCGCAATTACATTTTCAAAGAATTATCAGTTGCGAATGCATCAGATTTTCAAAATTATACTAGACTGCCAGTGGACTTGTTTGACAGTCTGCTAAAGAAAATAATGCCACTCATCCAGAAGCTGGATGGTGGAATCGAGATGGAATTCACATGCAATGAAATTCATTAGCAATGAAAATCATTTCACGATAGAATTGCGAACGCAACGTATGAATTTTCTTGCAGACTTCGTCAATGGTGACTTTTACACAACATTTTTTTAGAATTTAAACTATTTCCACCAGAGCTTGTTCTTTTGCATTTCGACTTTTATTCTCCTTTGACTGAACTCTTTACAGCTATCAATGGTCTCTACAATGATCAATTAGCCACTCTACTAGAGAGTCCAAACAAGTGTGGCGTAAGTTGCCATAGTGAAGGACCAGCGTCTACAACAACCTCACTAGACCACGGACAGCCGTCCACTGAGTGCAGCGCTTGTGCTGCATTAGGCAGGGCGCCTGTGAATCGCTCTAAATAATACAATATTCAATAATATATCTCTAATATACGACAATATTTAATAATATATCTCCAATATTCGACAATATTCAATAATATATCTTCAATATACGACATTTTATTGTTAATTTGGCCACAAGAAAGCACACGTAGATGTGCTTTTCCCATAAGACACAAATTGCCCACAAGAAGCGCACGTAGAGGGGCGGTGAGGCGCCTGACGCCCGTGTGTTGCCCCTAGTGTGAACGGGCCTCTACACAGCGGCACCATGGCTCACAACACACACACAGAATAATACACACAAAACATACACAAACACACGCACACACCAGCAGTTGTCAGGTGCACACACCTTGATGGTATGCAGCTGCCGTCCAGGTGCAGCGTCAGCGACCAGCTGCAGCAGCTGCAGCTGGTCGCCCCCCTCGCTGCCGAGGGGGGAGGAGGGCAGGGGGGAGGGGGAGTCCAGCCCATTCTGGGGGGGAGGTTTAGGGGATTATTATTGATGCCTTTAATTAAATGAGTGTATAATATAAATATAATATAAGTAATTATAAAAGAGTGTACAAAATAATTAATAAATATAATATAAATCGATAATAAATGTGTGTATAATGATTTACTTGCGGGTTACTTGACCCACCAGCGGGGGGGTAGCGCTGTGGTGCAGCAGCACGAGCTCCGCGGTGCTGGGGGAGATGCTGAAGTCCTGGGGGAGCAGCGACGGGTCACATTAAGGACACACCTTGAGGGCGCTAAGGACACACCTTGAGGGCGATGAGTACGCACCTTGAGGGCGCTAAGGACACACCTTGAGGGCGCTAAGGACGCACCTTGAGGGCGCTAAGGACACACCTTGAGGGCGCTAAGGACGCACCTTGAGGGCGATGAGGCGCACCAGGATGGGATGGGACAGCGTCCCCAGCAGGATGTTGACGTCGTTGCTGACGTCGCTGTTGCTGCGCAGGTCCTCCTGCAGCCGCTGCAGCACCTGCACCGCCTGCACGTGCGCTGCACCGCGCAGCAACACAACAGTTCAGGTTAAAATTAATAGTTACTCTAACAAAATTTAGAGGCATGCGCGACCCTGCATCAGGGCCGCCCAGGACTGGGACCGCAACCCTATCAAAATTTGGCGAGCCTGGCGAGCCTGAATTAGGAACCGCCGAGGACTCGGACCGAACGTAAATCAGCTTCTCTATGTCCGCTTTTTGATCTACATTCCGGCCCCCGAATCAGACAGCTACCAGAGCCTGGTGAGGGGCCTTAGGGGATTCTGCCAACTCTTGCCCTCCTCTCAGGAGACTATAAAGTCGACCAGGAGGTTCTGACTAGTCGCTGATTGCGATCAGGTGGCCAACTGACCCAGAATAACTTTGCGCCGAGTGTAGTGACTATTCGGCCGAAGCCTAGGCGGTCCCCGAATTTTGTTAGGGTAGTAAGCCAAACATATTCATAATTATCACTCATCACTATGAATAATTAGTATTCCATCCAATATCATCTCACCATCGCTGTTACGTAATTCATCACTATATCACCACCATCATCATCACCACAACATCACTACGTTGTGATGCTGGAGTATAAATTCAGGGAATATTTTGACCGCGTATCTAAGATACGCTCTCTGCCTCCCCCTCCCCTCCCCCAGGGAGATGAGGGATGAGAGGGGAGAGGGGCATGAGAGGGGAAAGAAAGAGGGGTAAACCCAAGGAGAGGTGAGAGAGTTGGGGAAAAGAGGCAAGCGAGAGGATGTCATTCAGATCAGAGGTTAAAGCTGCGTGCTGCACTGCTGCACTGCTGCACTGCTGCAATGACACTGCTGCACTGCTGCACTGACACTGCTGCACTGCTGCACTGCTGCACTGACACTGCTGCACTGCTGCACTGCTGCACTGACACTGCTGCACTGCTGCACTGACACTGCTGCACTGCTGCACTGACACTGCTGCACTGACACTGCTGCACTGACACTGCTGCACTGACACTGCTGCACTGACACTGCTGCACTGACACTGCTGCACTGACACTGCTGCACTGACACTGCTGCACTGACACTGCTGCACTGACACTGCTGCACTGACACTGCTGCACTGACACTGCTGCACTGACACTGCTGCACTGACACTGCTGCACTGACACTGCTGCACTGACACTGCTGCACTGACACTGCTGCACTGACACTGCTGCACTGACACTGCTGCACTGACACTGCTGCACTGACACTGCTGCACTGACACTGCTGCACTGACACTGCTGCACTGACACTGCTGCACTGACACTGCTGCACTGACACTGCTGCACTGACACTGCTGCACTGACACTGCTGCACTGACACTGCTGCACTGACACTGCTGCACTGACACTGCTGCACTGACACTGCTGCACTGACACTGCTGCACTGACACTGCTGCACTGACACTGCTGCACTGACACTGCTGCACTGACACTGCTGCACTGACACTGCTGCACTGACACTGCTGCACTGACACTGCTGCACTGACACTGCTGCACTGACACTGCTGCACTGACACTGCTGCACTGACACTGCTGCACTGACACTGCTGCACTGACACTGCTGCACTGACACTGCTGCACTGACACTGCTGCACTGACACTGCTGCACTGACACTGCTGCACTGACATTGATGTACACAGCACTGACAGCAGCATACAACAAAAACTACACAGCACCACACAGCTATCCTGAAAACAATACTAACACAAAAAAATACAATACTCACCTTCAGAGAGTGACATGCTGTGTAGTCTCTGTGTGTCCTTTGTGGACCACGACCGCTGCTCTGTATATTCTGTATATCAACGTACACTCTTGTAACACTAATAACAGTTTCTCAAGACACTATCAATTTTTCATACACTGTATAGGATCTTCATACGATGTGCAAGGTATTAAACACACTGTAAATTCTGTATGTATACACAGATTTGGCACTATACTACCCACGATCTGTATATTTACTGTATAGGTATATGTAATCTGTGTATCTGTATAGTCTATACAAGTCTTCTCGGGGTACCTGCACAACAAAAAATAAATTTGTAATGGAAGATTTAATAGAAAATAACCGCTGGCACGGAGGCTATTGGATATGCCGCAAATCACTGATGATGGGGCCAATCACTGATAACGGGGCCAATCACTGATAACGGGGCCAATCACTGATAACGGGGCCAATCACAGATAACAGGACCAATCACTGATAACAGGGCCANTACACAGATGTGTGCTACAACACACAGCACTACACAGATGTGTGCTACAACACACAGCACTACACAGATGTGTGCTACAACACACAGCACTACACAGATGTGTGCTACAACACACAGCACTACACAGATGTGTGCTACAACACACAGCACTAAACAGATGTGTGCTACAACACACAGCATGTAACTTTGTACACAGATAAGAGATGGTGATATCAGCACTACATTCCAACTGATAATGACTGATAAAGCACTCACCAGCACAGCCATACCTCATCGACCTCTCTACCTACACTTGACATCCATACATCTTTTCATACATTTCATTTTTTTACATACATTTCATGTAGGTACATTTTTACACACTGTCAAATAAGGGACGGTTTTGAGCATTTTTGTTGATAACTTCTTATCATGAAACATTTCATAAACAAGTTTGAGCTCTTTTTATACTAGTTCTTTGTGAGGGCTATCGAATGGCATTTCCAAAAAAATTCCATATGCTATACATGAGGCGCCAGACACAAAATAAAACCGTCCCAAATTACCCCAGGGAACGGAATTACCCCTGGGAATGGGGTAATCCAGGACACTTGAAATAAAACTCAATTTTAAAACGTTTGAAACATGCAGAGTGTACTCATCCATTACAAACAGTACTCTAAAGTCCTCCTTTTCTTTTGTAGATGATGTAAATGTAGAATAAACGACATTTTGTGATTTTTACTTGTTTTTTCCTTTATTGATATGATATTACTTTATCCATTCAGTACCATATTATTGATGTGATATTACCTTATCCATGAACATGCCATTGAGCATTTATAACAACCTTGTCCACTACAAGCTTCATATCAGCAGCCTTATAGCACTTTTCTGTATCTATAAGCTTACAGCTTATCATTTCATACCATTTTAATTGGGTCTCAAGTGAATTCACTATAACAAAAAAGATAGTAAAAACATACCTGGAATAGAAAGGAATATTCTAGTGACAACCATCATATTTATTGAAGAAAGAAATCCTAGTTTGGGTTAATTACTTCATTCATTCATTTTATGTCGCCCGGTGCACAGTTCTATCTATGACATTTTCTGTACAATATTGTGATGACCGATGATGCATTAATTTTTTGTTAGGCAAGATTTTTTTGCTGAGCAAGGTAAATATAATCAAAGTTTTTTGTTGTTAATTTATTTTTTCATTAACTTGAGCTTTTGCTAATCGAGGTTCTACTGTAAATGCTTTTTTAGGGGTGTCCCGTATTACCCCATCTTGGGGAAATGGCCAAATTATTTTTTTTGGAATGTGATATGCAAATTCCATCAATCACGTTTTTAAGCCAACATCTGTGTGCAACTTTTATGAAACTAAAATTTTTTGATACATCAAAATTTTTTTTTTTTTTGCAACAGACCTTAGCAGAGGTACCATTCCAAAATCTCACATTTCACACTTTTTTTTCAGGGATTTTTTTAGAAGTAGTAATGTATGATTTCTTAACTTGCTTTATGCTACATAGATAGGAAAAATGTTGAACTTTATGCCACTATTTTTAGTTTTGCAATATTTTAATTAGTTTAGCTGCTACAACATTTCTACAAAATGTGGAAGGACTGTCCTAATTTACCCCACCCGTCCCTTATTACCCCATTTGATGGTACATTCCATTTCATTCACATACATCAATTCCATATAGCCATTGCATACCGTAAAATGGGGTAACTTAGACCACTTTTCGTTTTTTTAACAAAAACCCACAAAACTCAAAAACTATTTGACATAGAAACATTTTGTCAATGGGCATTAAAGGCCAAATACTGAGGCTACATAACACAATAGAAAGATTTAAAAAATTTGCATATCTAGTACGTAGGTTAAAAAATTAAAAATGTGACCCATGAAAAAAAGCTATTATTTAAAGCCTGTCGGAGTACCCCCTCCATTTTTTTATTTTTTTGGTTAAATAACTCCAGGTTTTGATGCATTGTAGTAGAACTCTTCTAGTTACATATGCAAAAGACAAATTTTAGGAAAGTGTCATAGTTTGCAAATGGGGAACGCTGCCCCCCAATGGGGTAACTTAGACCACCTAATGTCAGCCCTGACGGGGTAACATAGACCGGCTTGGAAGTTAATATAAAATTACCATATATAACATATTTTATGTTTGACAGCCTATTTATGTTTTTCTTTATGTTTCAGACTCTACAGAGTCTTATATATGGTAATTTTAACTTAATTTTAAGTTTAATTTAGCTAGTAAAAAATGGCATCATTTATAAAAAAAGTCGTCTAAGTTACCCCATTTTACGGTACATTATTTCATTACCTTCATCATTCACAAGTACTATATAGGTACTAATTAATTGGGTTTTGGGGAACAGATGACAGCAGCATCTTGCAGGCTCTCTAGCATGGCCAGGGACTGCTATGTCCAGAACACCAAGGATACATAAGATAAATAGGATTTGGAATCATTAGCGCAAGGATTC